TTTGTTAAAACCCGTTTTGTCTAGTTAAAACTAGAATTTACTGCTAGTCAAAAATGAATTTGAGTTAAAACTAGTTTTAACTAGACAAAACGGGTTTTAACAAAGACATTCAGTACAAACTAGTTTCAACTAGTTAAAACGTGTTCTAACTAAAAACGGGTTTTGACTGTAACATATACATCAACAATGACATAACCAAATACTATTTAAAGCTAAGACTTAAAATTATAGATATACTTTTTTAAAGATAAGACTTAAAATTATAGATATACTTTAAAGATGGACTTCCATGCTTTAGAGCAGTGTTCTGCAACTAGTGTGCCATCACAGGTGAAAGGTGAGACGTGAACTTTTAGATATTCTATTAATTTCAAGTTTTATTTATATATTTTTATCACAGTTGCTGCATTTCTTATGCTTGTATTTCATTCTCTGCTGCAGCACTGATGAAATAAGATGATGTTTGTTTATTCTTTATTACAAATCATGCATTTTTATGTATTCTAAGAAATTAAATATAAAATAAATTTACTCATAAGTGTTGATGCCTGTTTAATAATAATAACAGGTTAGTGGCATTACGTAATTCTATCAATAGTATCATATCATACGTTTTTGAGGGCAGTAACATTTTGGTGTGCCATGTTGAGTCATAGGTGTACCACAAGTAGAAAAATGTTGCAGAATACTGCTTTAGAGAATGTCTCAGCATTGTCATCTTGGAACGCCGTAATAAATTACAGAGATGTCCTATAATTTTAAGTCTTATCTTTAAAAAATATCTGGTTATGTCATTGTTGATGTCTGCACTTTCCACCAATGGAATAATTCTTCACAGTTTTCCAGCAAAATGAATTTGGATTAAATAAAAATGAAACATTTTCAGCCCAGGGGCTGCATCAGGCAGCAATCATTACAGAACATTAAAGATTCTAAGTTTAGAATGTTTTTTAAAATTATTTTCTTTTTGATGTCATTCTTGAATGTTTAACACATACTCTACAAATAACTATTACACAATAAAAAATTAAACAAAAAAAATTATTATGACAAAAAGATAAATGTGCCATAGTACAATAACTTATTTATCTATAGTAACCTCCTGCTCTAATATCGTTTAATTTCCTTTTAGACGGTTATCAAGCAACAACTGCCAGATACTGTCTCACAATCTTAACTATTAATACAATTCCCATAGATTGCTGCATTGAAAATTTCTCAGGCTTCCAAGGTTCATAGGTTTTGAACATTGAAGACTTTCATTATCAGTTTTTCCTTATCCCAGATGATTGACACCCAAGGCTTGCTCACATATTGGGCCAGATTTGTTACCTAGTTTATTATTAGAAATGTCCTGTTAGTGCTCTTTAATTCTAAGTGTCCATGATCTCTTAGTAGAGCCCATGTACCGTACATAAGATCTCTCTCAAACCTATTGTCCAATATGGGGAAGATACAATGAGATCAATGGGAATAGAGTCCCACGGGTATATTTGGTCTCCATATTGGGGATTTACCACCACTATTAATAATTAAACACCACATAATTTAGTACTAGAGGTAGGTGTTAGGCACTATCTCTCATTAAATTTAATGATTATAAATAAATTATTTAATAAAGAGACATGGACTCACTATCTACCACATAGAGGTCTCTGTATGAGCTCTAATTTGACTTCCTTTAATAGGGCACTTCTACATTATTTTATTGTTATTCTTATTTTATTTTATTTATTTATTTCATTTTGTTAAATATTTGTTATTAATTTTTATGTTATATTATTTTTGTTAACTTATATTTATTGAATGTTCTTTTTATTCAAATATATACTATTTTGGAATACACAACTGATGAAGACATATCAAATTAGACTGAAATGTTTTGTTTCATTAAACTTTTTTCTGGAGCTGATTTCTAAAGTGTGAATTTATTTTCTGACATTTGCTCTAGTTTCTGTATTTTGTTAAATTCTTAAATTTTTGATTAAATACATATTATAAAAAAATTAAGAATAATGATTAATTCATTATAACACTTTAATTTATTATATATTTACATAATGTGAATTAACTCATACCTTTAATAATTACAGCAAAAAAAAATTTTTTTGTATTCATGTTCTGTTCTAACATAACTGAAAAATGTCAGTGAAGCTGATCGAAAATGTTATTATTTAGTAAATTTCATTGCTGGATTTTTCAAAGGTGTGATTTTTTTTTGTTGTAATCTATCTATCCAGTTTATACAAAATATATGGACATTTAATAATAATATTAAATTAAAATTCCATGCATGGAAAACTAGAACTTCTTTAAATAAATAAGTTTCACAAAACCTTTCACTCTTTTTCTAGACGTTTCTTAATTCATAAGAGAACAAACGTTTTCAGCCATTTTAAATGGCCTTCTTCTGGCTCTATAACATTGGAACGTCAGTTAACAAATATTTGAATGACGTCATTGTTTTTAACAAAAGACAGACATGGATAAATTGAAATAAAATTAACAAATAGATGTGTAAATGAATAACAAAATAAACGACTATTGCCACTAAGATTAAATAAGTAGATTAAATAACTAGATAAATTGAGAGAAATGCTAACAAGTTCATGACAAACCGAGATTAAAACGTCACATGTTCTTTGAGGAGGTTATTTATTTTGTTATCCATTTACACATCTATTTGTTAATTTTATTTCAATTTTATCCATATCTGTCTTTTGTTAAAAATAATGACATCATTCAAATATTTGTTAACTGACATTCCAATGTTATAGAGCCTAAAGAAGGCATTTAAAATAGCCATAAATGTTTGGATTACGAAACTGCTAGAAAAAGAGTGAAAGGGTTTGTGAAACTTATTAAATTAAAATTGAAGTATCAAATATCACTGAAATCTGAATGATGATGATAATGGTATTTCTTGGCACAAGCACAACCTCAGCCACATTGCATCATGAATCTTAAAGATATAATCCAGTTTCCATCTAATATGCTTTCATGTGTCTGAATGGTTATTTTGTTTAGAATCTGAAACAAAAAATGACGTAGAATATGATCATCGCTAACAATAATGTATTAATGTAATGTTGTGCTCTTTTCCAATCATTGTACAGGGTTGTCAACAATTGCAGTTGTACAGGGTGCAATTTTAAAAATGCGAATTACTCGCAAACGCATGAACGTAAAGGCAAGCTGTAAGAACTGAACATACCTGTATTTAGTGGAAAACAAGTCCACATTACAAATGGTGATGGAAATGTCCTCCCCCAACATCCATGCACAAATAAACGCGATGCTCCATATTTGAGAATGTCCTCTGCAACATCTCACTGTCGATGGCAGCAATTTCACACTCAATGTTTGCTTTCAGTTGTTTGATGGTCCTGGGTTTGCTTGCATACACCTTGCCCTTTAAATATCCCCATAGAAAAAAATCTGGGGGAGTTAAATAGAGTGATCGAGGTGGCCACAAACCTTTCAAGATCACCCTGTCTCCAAAAAATGATCGGATCTCTTCCATACTGGAATGAGAGGTATGACATGTTGCCCCATCCTGTTGGAAGTAACCTTCTTGAAGTTCATAGTCATCCAGTTATTTCACAAATTCATCAAATATGGACAAGTATTGGGCGGTGTTCACAGTCTCATCAAACAAAATTGGACCAATGATCCGAGAACGAGAAATTGCACACTACACTCCGATCTTCATTAAATAAGGAATATTTTGAGCCTTGTTGCATGATGATACATGCAAGCATTCGCAAGTAATTCGCATTTTTAAAGTTGTATTCCCAAGTGGGACACCCTGTACTATCATCATTTTATGATTTTGATTTCACAAAATTCAGATAATATATTTAAATCTTGTAAAATGAAAGTTTATATATAAGCAACTAGCCAAATGAGATCAATTTTAGCCTGTACCAAAAAACACTGCAATGTCAACAATGACATCAAATGTTAACTTGTTAATTTATATTCAGTTTACTTACTGACAATATAGCAGTTCATTTTTTCTTGTCAACAAGTTTTATATAAAACATTAAAGATTAATATATTGATATTATGGATAAAATATTTTCCTATAAATTATTTTTGTATTTTGTTAGGGAAATTTCATCACTCAGAAATATAAAATTGCAGTTAGCAACAATTTTTTTTTGCTTGAAGACAACTGTTTATATTGTTTGTAAACTATGTGATTCAACTTTTATATATTTTATGAGGTAATGGAGACTGCTGTGTCAAGATATTTTAAAGTTAAAAAAAATCACCACTGAAAATATCAATTAAATATTTTTACACTGAAAATATGAAAGTCATGATCAATTTTATATTGTTTTCATAAATTTCTTCTATGGTCAACATATCCTCAGAATATTTTTGTAAGAGCGATAACTTTTTTATTATATTATAAAATAGAGAAAATTCATATTTAATATATATATATATATATATTAAAATAAATGAAAAAAACTAACTTCCAAATAAATTATTTTAAACATATTTTAAGATGAAAAATAATCAGAACTTGCCAATTCTTTATTTAGACGATTAAATTCAGCATGATAACTTTTCATTCTGTTCTGATATTTTGGACGATCATTTGGTGGCATACTTTTAACTTCTAAATCCATCTGTTCCAACTGAAATAAAAAAATTGGAAACTTATTCAAAATTCTAATTGTTTATATTGTATAGAAAAGATTTTTGCCAACAAGATTAAGACAGAAATGCTATATTTATGAAAAAAAATTGACAAAGTATTTTCTAATAAACAATCCATTATAATAAAATTCTACATAGAATATTAATTAATTTGCTTAAAAAGTTTAAAATAATCATAAAGATACAAAGATACAAGATATGTATCTATATCTATATATAAAATTCTGAAATACAGGTATTCTTCATATAACATGATAGTTGCGTTCTGAAAAAGTGCCATGTTATGTGAATCAGAGCTATATGAAACAAAGGACTAATGCAAAACATAGGGTTACATTCCAGAAGTTAGCAAAAGTATACTATTCTTTTCTGTTACTAAGATAAAAATGTTTATTAAAGCAATCAATAACTTATTTCCAATCAATAATTAATTAACAATCACAATTAAAAGGACTACATTATGTATTAATATTAATTTTAGTTAAACCAGGGCATTTTCTTTTTAAAGTATTGTCGTCATCTCAGCTTTTTTGTTGATATTGATCAGAAGTATCAGCAANATATTTTGCATATGCATTTTAAAATAATCAATCTAAAACTATATTTAATACATATTACAAAATAAAGATATTATAATGAATTCAACATATATTTAAAAAGTTATTCACAACATAAAATTTGCCAATTTCTATTCCAGTAAAATATTGTTCTGTATAGTGTGGTCCATTTTCATCAATCCATTGAAATAGCTTGAAAAATATACATCCTACAAAAAAGTCAATGAACCAAAAATGTCAGACTTCAAGGAGGCCACAAAATGGGGATATTGGTTTCTTTAGGAGCTGTCCATAAATTACATCCACATTTTTCTTGAAATTTTTACTCCCCCTCCCCATTGTCTGTAATCCCCTCCTCTCTTTGGACATCCAACAAAACTCAACCCCCGAAAATCTTTATACATTTTATTATTCATAAAGTGGTAAACTGTATAAAATTTAATGAAATAAAATGGGCGTCCATTAAAGTTTAACCCCTCCCCCTTGTCTGACTTTGTCCAACTTGTCATAACTCCCCTCCCTCCCTTCCAGTATAAACATCATTTATGATAACCCATTATAGAAAAAACTAAAATCAGTGAAAAAGGGTTAACTTCATTTTCTTAAAAGGAATCCCACAAATTTTATTGCATATTATGATTCTACATCAAAAACAGATAAACTTTTATTATCTAAAGCATTTTTTTGAAAGATGCATTTATACAAATTATTCCAAATACAAATAATGAAACGATACCAGTAATATCCAGCAAATGATATACTTTACTAAATGATAACAAGAACAAACATTTGATGATTTTTCAAATGTCATTGTCAGGTTAAAAAGCATTTGAACATATATATGAAAATTCAAATGTCACTTTAAATAAACTGAAAGAATTATTTCATTGGTGGAAAGTGTATATGTTACAGTCAAAACCCGTTTTTAGTTAGAACGCGTTTTAACTAGTTGAAACTAGTTTATACTGAATGTCTTTGTTAAAACCTGTTTTGTCTAGTTGAAACTAGTTTATACTGAATGTCTTTGTTAAAACCCGTTTTGTCTAGTTAAAACTAGTTTTAACTCAAATTCATTTTTGACTAGCAGTAAATTCAAGTTTTAACTAGACAAAACGGTTTGTGGCGTAATAAACACTAGTATTGTGTTTTTATTCTAAAGACACATGGCAAATTTTCCATCATATAACGGGTTTTGTCTAGTTAATTTACTGCTGTACATGTTTTGACTTTNTTTGTTAAAACCCGTTTTGTCTAGTTAAAACTAGAATTTACTGCTAGTCAAAAATGAATTTGAGTTAAAACTAGTTTTAACTAGACAAAACGGGTTTTAACAAAGACATTCAGTACAAACTAGTTTCAACTAGTTAAAACGTGTTCTAACTAAAAACGGGTTTTGACTGTAACATATACATCAACAATGACATAACCAAATACTATTTAAAGCTAAGACTTAAAATTATAGATATACTTTTTTAAAGATAAGACTTAAAATTATAGATATACTTTAAAGATGGACTTCCATGCTTTAGAGCAGTGTTCTGCAACTAGTGTGCCATCACAGGTGAAAGGTGAGACGTGAACTTTTAGATATTCTATTAATTTCAAGTTTTATTTATATATTTTTATCACAGTTGCTGCATTTCTTATGCTTGTATTTCATTCTCTGCTGCAGCACTGATGAAATAAGATGATGTTTGTTTATTCTTTATTACAAATCATGCATTTTTATGTATTCTAAGAAATTAAATATAAAATAAATTTACTCATAAGTGTTGATGCCTGTTTAATAATAATAACAGGTTAGTGGCATTACGTAATTCTATCAATAGTATCATATCATACGTTTTTGAGGGCAGTAACATTTTGGTGTGCCATGTTGAGTCATAGGTGTACCACAAGTAGAAAAATGTTGCAGAATACTGCTTTAGAGAATGTCTCAGCATTGTCATCTTGGAACGCCGTAATAAATTACAGAGATGTCCTATAATTTTAAGTCTTATCTTTAAAAAATATCTGGTTATGTCATTGTTGATGTCTGCACTTTCCACCAATGGAATAATTCTTCACAGTTTTCCAGCAAAATGAATTTGGATTAAATAAAAATGAAACATTTTCAGCCCAGGGGCTGCATCAGGCAGCAATCATTACAGAACATTAAAGATTCTAAGTTTAGAATGTTTTTTAAAATTATTTTCTTTTTGATGTCATTCTTGAATGTTTAACACATACTCTACAAATAACTATTACACAATAAAAAATTAAACAAAAAAAATTATTATGACAAAAAGATAAATGTGCCATAGTACAATAACTTATTTATCTATAGTAACCTCCTGCTCTAATATCGTTTAATTTCCTTTTAGACGGTTATCAAGCAACAACTGCCAGATACTGTCTCACAATCTTAACTATTAATACAATTCCCATAGATTGCTGCATTGAAAATTTCTCAGGCTTCCAAGGTTCATAGGTTTTGAACATTGAAGACTTTCATTATCAGTTTTTCCTTATCCCAGATGATTGACACCCAAGGCTTGCTCACATATTGGGCCAGATTTGTTACCTAGTTTATTATTAGAAATGTCCTGTTAGTGCTCTTTAATTCTAAGTGTCCATGATCTCTTAGTAGAGCCCATGTACCGTACATAAGATCTCTCTCAAACCTATTGTCCAATATGGGGAAGATACAATGAGATCAATGGGAATAGAGTCCCACGGGTATATTTGGTCTCCATATTGGGGATTTACCACCACTATTAATAATTAAACACCACATAATTTAGTACTAGAGGTAGGTGTTAGGCACTATCTCTCATTAAATTTAATGATTATAAATAAATTATTTAATAAAGAGACATGGACTCACTATCTACCACATAGAGGTCTCTGTATGAGCTCTAATTTGACTTCCTTTAATAGGGCACTTCTACATTATTTTATTGTTATTCTTATTTTATTTTATTTATTTATTTCATTTTGTTAAATATTTGTTATTAATTTTTATGTTATATTATTTTTGTTAACTTATATTTATTGAATGTTCTTTTTATTCAAATATATACTATTTTGGAATACACAACTGATGAAGACATATCAAATTAGACTGAAATGTTTTGTTTCATTAAACTTTTTTCTGGAGCTGATTTCTAAAGTGTGAATTTATTTTCTGACATTTGCTCTAGTTTCTGTATTTTGTTAAATTCTTAAATTTTTGATTAAATACATATTATAAAAAAATTAAGAATAATGATTAATTCATTATAACACTTTAATTTATTATATATTTACATAATGTGAATTAACTCATACCTTTAATAATTACAGCAAAAAAAAATTTTTTTGTATTCATGTTCTGTTCTAACATAACTGAAAAATGTCAGTGAAGCTGATCGAAAATGTTATTATTTAGTAAATTTCATTGCTGGATTTTTCAAAGGTGTGATTTTTTTTTGTTGTAATCTATCTATCCAGTTTATACAAAATATATGGACATTTAATAATAATATTAAATTAAAATTCCATGCATGGAAAACTAGAACTTCTTTAAATAAATAAGTTTCACAAAACCTTTCACTCTTTTTCTAGACGTTTCTTAATTCATAAGAGAACAAACGTTTTCAGCCATTTTAAATGGCCTTCTTCTGGCTCTATAACATTGGAACGTCAGTTAACAAATATTTGAATGACGTCATTGTTTTTAACAAAAGACAGACATGGATAAATTGAAATAAAATTAACAAATAGATGTGTAAATGAATAACAAAATAAACGACTATTGCCACTAAGATTAAATAAGTAGATTAAATAACTAGATAAATTGAGAGAAATGCTAACAAGTTCATGACAAACCGAGATTAAAACGTCACATGTTCTTTGAGGAGGTTATTTATTTTGTTATCCATTTACACATCTATTTGTTAATTTTATTTCAATTTTATCCATATCTGTCTTTTGTTAAAAATAATGACATCATTCAAATATTTGTTAACTGACATTCCAATGTTATAGAGCCTAAAGAAGGCATTTAAAATAGCCATAAATGTTTGGATTACGAAACTGCTAGAAAAAGAGTGAAAGGGTTTGTGAAACTTATTAAATTAAAATTGAAGTATCAAATATCACTGAAATCTGAATGATGATGATAATGGTATTTCTTGGCACAAGCACAACCTCAGCCACATTGCATCATGAATCTTAAAGATATAATCCAGTTTCCATCTAATATGCTTTCATGTGTCTGAATGGTTATTTTGTTTAGAATCTGAAACAAAAAATGACGTAGAATATGATCATCGCTAACAATAATGTATTAATGTAATGTTGTGCTCTTTTCCAATCATTGTACAGGGTTGTCAACAATTGCAGTTGTACAGGGTGCAATTTTAAAAATGCGAATTACTCGCAAACGCATGAACGTAAAGGCAAGCTGTAAGAACTGAACATACCTGTATTTAGTGGAAAACAAGTCCACATTACAAATGGTGATGGAAATGTCCTCCCCCAACATCCATGCACAAATAAACGCGATGCTCCATATTTGAGAATGTCCTCTGCAACATCTCACTGTCGATGGCAGCAATTTCACACTCAATGTTTGCTTTCAGTTGTTTGATGGTCCTGGGTTTGCTTGCATACACCTTGCCCTTTAAATATCCCCATAGAAAAAAATCTGGGGGAGTTAAATAGAGTGATCGAGGTGGCCACAAACCTTTCAAGATCACCCTGTCTCCAAAAAATGATCGGATCTCTTCCATACTGGAATGAGAGGTATGACATGTTGCCCCATCCTGTTGGAAGTAACCTTCTTGAAGTTCATAGTCATCCAGTTATTTCACAAATTCATCAAATATGGACAAGTATTGGGCGGTGTTCACAGTCTCATCAAACAAAATTGGACCAATGATCCGAGAACGAGAAATTGCACACTACACTCCGATCTTCATTAAATAAGGAATATTTTGAGCCTTGTTGCATGATGATACATGCAAGCATTCGCAAGTAATTCGCATTTTTAAAGTTGTATTCCCAAGTGGGACACCCTGTACTATCATCATTTTATGATTTTGATTTCACAAAATTCAGATAATATATTTAAATCTTGTAAAATGAAAGTTTATATATAAGCAACTAGCCAAATGAGATCAATTTTAGCCTGTACCAAAAAACACTGCAATGTCAACAATGACATCAAATGTTAACTTGTTAATTTATATTCAGTTTACTTACTGACAATATAGCAGTTCATTTTTTCTTGTCAACAAGTTTTATATAAAACATTAAAGATTAATATATTGATATTATGGATAAAATATTTTCCTATAAATTATTTTTGTATTTTGTTAGGGAAATTTCATCACTCAGAAATATAAAATTGCAGTTAGCAACAATTTTTTTTTGCTTGAAGACAACTGTTTATATTGTTTGTAAACTATGTGATTCAACTTTTATATATTTTATGAGGTAATGGAGACTGCTGTGTCAAGATATTTTAAAGTTAAAAAAAATCACCACTGAAAATATCAATTAAATATTTTTACACTGAAAATATGAAAGTCATGATCAATTTTATATTGTTTTCATAAATTTCTTCTATGGTCAACATATCCTCAGAATATTTTTGTAAGAGCGATAACTTTTTTATTATATTATAAAATAGAGAAAATTCATATTTAATATATATATATATATATATTAAAATAAATGAAAAAAACTAACTTCCAAATAAATTATTTTAAACATATTTTAAGATGAAAAATAATCAGAACTTGCCAATTCTTTATTTAGACGATTAAATTCAGCATGATAACTTTTCATTCTGTTCTGATATTTTGGACGATCATTTGGTGGCATACTTTTAACTTCTAAATCCATCTGTTCCAACTGAAATAAAAAAATTGGAAACTTATTCAAAATTCTAATTGTTTATATTGTATAGAAAAGATTTTTGCCAACAAGATTAAGACAGAAATGCTATATTTATGAAAAAAAATTGACAAAGTATTTTCTAATAAACAATCCATTATAATAAAATTCTACATAGAATATTAATTAATTTGCTTAAAAAGTTTAAAATAATCATAAAGATACAAAGATACAAGATATGTATCTATATCTATATATAAAATTCTGAAATACAGGTATTCTTCATATAACATGATAGTTGCGTTCTGAAAAAGTGCCATGTTATGTGAATCAGAGCTATATGAAACAAAGGACTAATGCAAAACATAGGGTTACATTCCAGAAGTTAGCAAAAGTATACTATTCTTTTCTGTTACTAAGATAAAAATGTTTATTAAAGCAATCAATAACTTATTTCCAATCAATAATTAATTAACAATCACAATTAAAAGGACTACATTATGTATTAATATTAATTTTAGTTAAACCAGGGCATTTTCTTTTTAAAGTATTGTCGTCATCTCAGCTTTTTTGTTGATATTGATCAGAAGTATCAGCAACATTTTCATATTTTTTAATCATAAAAAATTTTTTATATATGACAAAATAAAAAGTAAAAATATGTTATTAATCAAAAATTTGTCTACTGGGTCATATTTATTGAATTGAGTACCAAGAGACCTTTTTCCAGAATGTATGTTCAAATGCAAAGACACCATCATATTTCGTTTGTTATTTTTATGAATGATTACTGTTTTTATGAATGATCTACAGTTTTAAAAAATTTAATAGCACTTACCTAAAAATGTTTAAATAAGTTTTATTAAATATGAAGATTAATCAATCTATAAAAAGAAAACACAGTGACAGTCTTAAGGGCTAAAATCTTAAAGCAACAATGGCACCTAGTTGATAGGAAAGTTATTGCAAATTTTTTCTTCCTTGTCCTATCAATTTTCATTAAAGTAAACCTGATGAGAAGCACAAAATAATTTGAAAATTTCAATATTGTAAAATCCATAAGAAATTTGAGACAACACTCACGCTTACTTGAATTTCAAAAAAATATAAATAATGAAGTTTATGCTTAAAATTTGTGAAATTTTGTACAGAGCATTTTGAAAACTGTTAGAGCAGGGGTGTCCAACCTTTTTGTTCTTCTGGGCCACATTGGAAGAAGTCATGGAGTTTTGGCCACAAGTATATATAATATATTTGTGACCCAATCCTTAAATATACAAGTATATTTAAGAGAGGTGGAAAGAAGGAAACACCCAAAATGCAAGTATTATTTGCATATCTACAATTTCCCTTGGAGTTTAAATAAAGGCATTCAAAACATCCAGAATAGTTTCCTAAATTTACAGAACATATCTGTTTACTGAAAATTTATAAAGTGATATACAGAAGGTAAATGAGATTAAATTTATATAATAATAAATTTGTTTTAAAATTACAAATTAATTTAAAATAATTTAACAAACAATATATACATAGAGAATGTATAATTATTACATAACTTACATTGATAAAATACAAACATTTTTTATTATTAATATAATATCTGATAAAAAATTGTAATTTGTTGTTTATCAAAACTAAATGAATAAATATTTCATACAGTTTTCTTTTCATCTACAGAATTTGGTTTTAGTGTTTTCAGTATGTATGTTACTGTGAATGACGAATATCTGGTGAATGTCGAGATTCTCCGATGAATGTCAGCATTCACACAGTTGTTTCATGTATGTACGAAATATTGCTAAATATCAATCAATCAATCAAAGTTTTATTTGCATATAAGGCTATAGCCTGTTACAGGGGGTATTAGCTTTACAGTTTCTTTTCTCTTCATTTCTATTATTTAATAATCATATTTTTAAAGGTTTTACTAACATTATTATAGTATCTATATATTTTGTTAATACTGGCTTTATCCAGCTTTCTATACATTTCTTTTTCTTCCTTACAATCATTTTGTTCTTTATTAGTTTTTAGTTCATGTTCTTGTTCTTTGTTCTTCACACTTACATATAATAAATGTGATTTTGATAGTTTTTTCTTACATATTGGACAGTTGAATTGATCATATTCTACGTATTTATCGTTAATCATCAGTCCTTTTTGGTTAAGTCTAAACTGTATAAAAAATTTTTTAACATTAAATGAAATATTAGTTTTCATATAATTATTAATTAATGGAAAGTTTAAGATCTCAGAATAACAATTATTTTTCCTTTTTTGAATATCTTCTGTATCTTGTATTATTGAGTGTTCTGTTACTCTATATATTAGTTGACTGATTCGTTGATCATTATTTTGGAGATATTCAAACACTAATTCTATCAAGAACCCGTATATATATATCATTATTTCTCACTTACACCGGCAAATGTCGACATTCAGCTCATTCAGCATGCACTGATGGTGAATGTTGAATAAAAATATTTTTATTATGTTAAGACAAAAATGCAACTTTTTAATATGTCAAAATAGGAGAAAGCTTAAGTAACAGCACATATAAATAAACTGTTGAACCTAAAACAAACAGTACATTGATAATAAACTTAAAACATAAATAATAAACTTACACATAAATTATGTGATTAACATTATAGAATCTTATTTATTGCAACTTAAACTATTATGGCACTTTGAATTGCACAAGAGTCCCTTACTTTTACAACTACATTTATTTGTGGAACACTTCTTTTTGTAATGACAGCGTGTATAGCCTTGCCCTCCACTTTTCAAGTTAGCTGCAGCTGCTTCTCTCAGAGATATTTCTTGAGAAGAAATCTCATCTGAGGAAAGTAACTTTTCTTTACAAATTACAAACTGATTATGGTTTTTTTTTAACTCTTTCCGCCTTGTGGGCACTANACCGTTTGAAAATATCAAAAATTAGGCATCTTCCCCCGCTTACCATCTTACCCCGAATCACTCTATGCGTTGCAGTCAAACCAGTTTTTAGTTAGGATGCGTTTTAACTAGTTAAAACTAGTTTATACTGGATGTGTTTGTTAAAACCCATTTTGTCTAGTTAAAACTAGAATTTACTGCTAGTCAAAAATGAATTTGAGTTAAAACTAGTTTTAACTAGACAAAACGGGTTTTAACAAAGACATTCAGTACAAACTAGTTTCAACTAGTTAAAACGCGTTCTAACTAAAAACGGGTTTTGACTGTAACATATACATCAACAATGACATAACCAAATACTATTTAAAGCTAAGACTTAAAATTATAGATATACTTTTTTAAAGATAAGACTTAAAATTATAGATATACTTTAAAGATGGACTTCCATGCTTTAGAGCAGTGTTCTGCAACTAGTGTGCCATCACAGGTGAAAGGTGAGACGTGAACTTTTAGATATTCTATTAATTTCAAGTTTTATTTATATATTTTTATCACAGTTGCTGCATTTCTTATGCTTGTATTTCATTCTCTGCTGCAGCACTGATGAAATAAGATGATGTTTGTTTATTCTTTATTACAAATCATGCATTTTTATGTATTCTAAGAAATTAAATATAAAATAAATTTACTCATAAGTGTTGATGCCTGTTTAATAATAATAACAGGTTAGTGGCATTACGTAATTCTATCAATAGTATCATATCATACGTTTTTGAGGGCAGTAACATTTTGGTGTGCCATGTTGAGTCATAGGTGTACCACAAGTAGAAAAATGTTGCAGAATACTGCTTTAGAGAATGTCTCAGCATTGTCATCTTGGAACGCCGTAATAAATTACAGAGATGTCCTATAATTTTAAGTCTTATCTTTAAAAAATATCTGGTTATGTCATTGTTGATGTCTGCACTTTCCACCAATGGAATAATTCTTCACAGTTTTCCAGCAAAATGAATTTGGATTAAATAAAAATGAAACATTTTCAGCCCAGGGGCTGCATCAGGCAGCAATCATTACAGAACATTAAAGATTCTAAGTTTAGAATGTTTTTTAAAATTATTTTCTTTTTGATGTCATTCTTGAATGTTTAACACATACTCTACAAATAACTATTACACAATAAAAAATTAAACAAAAAAAATTATTATGACAAAAAGATAAATGTGCCATAGTACAATAACTTATTTATCTATAGTAACCTCCTGCTCTAATATCGTTTAATTTCCTTTTAGACGGTTATCAAGCAACAACTGCCAGATACTGTCTCACAATCTTAACTATTAATACAATTCCCATAGATTGCTGCATTGAAAATTTCTCAGGCTTCCAAGGTTCATAGGTTTTGAACATTGAAGACTTTCATTATCAGTTTTTCCTTATCCCAGATGATTGACACCCAAGGCTTGCTCACATATTGGGCCAGATTTGTTACCTAGTTTATTATTAGAAATGTCCTGTTAGTGCTCTTTAATTCTAAGTGTCCATGATCTCTTAGTAGAGCCCATGTACCGTACATAAGATCTCTCTCAAACCTATTGTCCAATATGGGGAAGATACAATGAGATCAATGGGAATAGAGTCCCACGGGTATATTTGGTCTCCATATTGGGGATTTACCACCACTATTAATAATTAAACACCACATAATTTAGTACTAGAGGTAGGTGTTAGGCACTATCTCTCATTAAATTTAATGATTATAAATAAATTATTTAATAAAGAGACATGGACTCACTATCTACCACATAGAGGTCTCTGTATGAGCTCTAATTTGACTTCCTTTAATAGGGCACTTCTACATTATTTTATTGTTATTCTTATTTTATTTTATTTATTTATTTCATTTTGTTAAATATTTGTTATTAATTTTTATGTTATATTATTTTTGTTAACTTATATTTATTGAATGTTCTTTTTATTCAAATATATACTATTTTGGAATACACAACTGATGAAGACATATCAAATTAGACTGAAATGTTTTGTTTCATTAAACTTTTTTCTGGAGCTGATTTCTAAAGTGTGAATTTATTTTCTGACATTTGCTCTAGTTTCTGTATTTTGTTAAATTCTTAAATTTTTGATTAAATACATATTATAAAAAAATTAAGAATAATGATTAATTCATTATAACACTTTAATTTATTATATATTTACATAATGTGAATTAACTCATACCTTTAATAATTACAGCAAAAAAAAATTTTTTTGTATTCATGTTCTGTTCTAACATAACTGAAAAATGTCAGTGAAGCTGATCGAAAATGTTATTATTTAGTAAATTTCATTGCTGGATTTTTCAAAGGTGTGATTTTTTTTTGTTGTAATCTATCTATCCAGTTTATACAAAATATATGGACATTTAATAATAATATTAAATTAAAATTCCATGCATGGAAAACTAGAACTTCTTTAAATAAATAAGTTTCACAAAACCTTTCACTCTTTTTCTAGACGTTTCTTAATTCATAAGAGAACAAACGTTTTCAGCCATTTTAAATGGCCTTCTTCTGGCTCTATAACATTGGAACGTCAGTTAACAAATATTTGAATGACGTCATTGTTTTTAACAAAAGACAGACATGGATAAATTGAAATAAAATTAACAAATAGATGTGTAAATGAATAACAAAATAAACGACTATTGCCACTAAGATTAAATAAGTAGATTAAATAACTAGATAAATTGAGAGAAATGCTAACAAGTTCATGACAAACCGAGATTAAAACGTCACATGTTCTTTGAGGAGGTTATTTATTTTGTTATCCATTTACACATCTATTTGTTAATTTTATTTCAATTTTATCCATATCTGTCTTTTGTTAAAAATAATGACATCATTCAAATATTTGTTAACTGACATTCCAATGTTATAGAGCCTAAAGAAGGCATTTAAAATAGCCATAAATGTTTGGATTACGAAACTGCTAGAAAAAGAGTGAAAGGGTTTGTGAAACTTATTAAATTAAAATTGAAGTATCAAATATCACTGAAATCTGAATGATGATGATAATGGTATTTCTTGGCACAAGCACAACCTCAGCCACATTGCATCATGAATCTTAAAGATATAATCCAGTTTCCATCTAATATGCTTTCATGTGTCTGAATGGTTATTTTGTTTAGAATCTGAAACAAAAAATGACGTAGAATATGATCATCGCTAACAATAATGTATTAATGTAATGTTGTGCTCTTTTCCAATCATTGTACAGGGTTGTCAACAATTGCAGTTGTACAGGGTGCAATTTTAAAAATGCGAATTACTCGCAAACGCATGAACGTAAAGGCAAGCTGTAAGAACTGAACATACCTGTATTTAGTGGAAAACAAGTCCACATTACAAATGGTGATGGAAATGTCCTCCCCCAACATCCATGCACAAATAAACGCGATGCTCCATATTTGAGAATGTCCTCTGCAACATCTCACTGTCGATGGCAGCAATTTCACACTCAATGTTTGCTTTCAGTTGTTTGATGGTCCTGGGTTTGCTTGCATACACCTTGCCCTTTAAATATCCCCATAGAAAAAAATCTGGGGGAGTTAAATAGAGTGATCGAGGTGGCCACAAACCTTTCAAGATCACCCTGTCTCCAAAAAATGATCGGATCTCTTCCATACTGGAATGAGAGGTATGACATGTTGCCCCATCCTGTTGGAAGTAACCTTCTTGAAGTTCATAGTCATCCAGTTATTTCACAAATTCATCAAATATGGACAAGTATTGGGCGGTGTTCACAGTCTCATCAAACAAAATTGGACCAATGATCCGAGAACGAGAAATTGCACACTACACTCCGATCTTCATTAAATAAGGAATATTTTGAGCCTTGTTGCATGATGATACATGCAAGCATTCGCAAGTAATTCGCATTTTTAAAGTTGTATTCCCAAGTGGGACACCCTGTACTATCATCATTTTATGATTTTGATTTCACAAAATTCAGATAATATATTTAAATCTTGTAAAATGAAAGTTTATATATAAGCAACTAGCCAAATGAGATCAATTTTAGCCTGTACCAAAAAACACTGCAATGTCAACAATGACATCAAATGTTAACTTGTTAATTTATATTCAGTTTACTTACTGACAATATAGCAGTTCATTTTTTCTTGTCAACAAGTTTTATATAAAACATTAAAGATTAATATATTGATATTATGGATAAAATATTTTCCTATAAATTATTTTTGTATTTTGTTAGGGAAATTTCATCACTCAGAAATATAAAATTGCAGTTAGCAACAATTTTTTTTTGCTTGAAGACAACTGTTTATATTGTTTGTAAACTATGTGATTCAACTTTTATATATTTTATGAGGTAATGGAGACTGCTGTGTCAAGATATTTTAAAGTTAAAAAAAATCACCACTGAAAATATCAATTAAATATTTTTACACTGAAAATATGAAAGTCATGATCAATTTTATATTGTTTTCATAAATTTCTTCTATGGTCAACATATCCTCAGAATATTTTTGTAAGAGCGATAACTTTTTTATTATATTATAAAATAGAGAAAATTCATATTTAATATATATATATATATATATTAAAATAAATGAAAAAAACTAACTTCCAAATAAATTATTTTAAACATATTTTAAGATGAAAAATAATCAGAACTTGCCAATTCTTTATTTAGACGATTAAATTCAGCATGATAACTTTTCATTCTGTTCTGATATTTTGGACGATCATTTGGTGGCATACTTTTAACTTCTAAATCCATCTGTTCCAACTGAAATAAAAAAATTGGAAACTTATTCAAAATTCTAATTGTTTATATTGTATAGAAAAGATTTTTGCCAACAAGATTAAGACAGAAATGCTATATTTATGAAAAAAAATTGACAAAGTATTTTCTAATAAACAATCCATTATAATAAAATTCTACATAGAATATTAATTAATTTGCTTAAAAAGTTTAAAATAATCATAAAGATACAAAGATACAAGATATGTATCTATATCTATATATAAAATTCTGAAATACAGGTATTCTTCATATAACATGATAGTTGCGTTCTGAAAAAGTGCCATGTTATGTGAATCAGAGCTATATGAAACAAAGGACTAATGCAAAACATAGGGTTACATTCCAGAAGTTAGCAAAAGTATACTATTCTTTTCTGTTACTAAGATAAAAATGTTTATTAAAGCAATCAATAACTTATTTCCAATCAATAATTAATTAACAATCACAATTAAAAGGACTACATTATGTATTAATATTAATTTTAGTTAAACCAGGGCATTTTCTTTTTAAAGTATTGTCGTCATCTCAGCTTTTTTGTTGATATTGATCAGAAGTATCAGCAACATTTTCATATTTTTTAATCATAAAAAATTTTTTATAGATGACAAAATAAAAAGTAAAAATATGTTATTAATCAAAAATTTGTCTACTGGGTCATATTTATTGAATTGAGTACCAAGAGACCTTTTTCCAGAATGTATGTTCAAATGCAAAGACACCATCATATTTCGTTTGTTATTTTTATGAATGATTACTGTTTTTATGAATGATCTACAGTTTTAAAAAATTTAATAGCACTTACCTAAAAATGTTTAAATAAGTTTTATTAAATATGAAGATTAATCAATCTATAAAAAGAAAACACAGTGACAGTCTTAAGGGCTAAAATCTTAAAGCAACAATGGCACCTAGTTGATAGGAAAGTTATTGCAAATTTTTTCTTCCTTGTCCTATCAATTTTCATTAAAGTAAACCTGATGAGAAGCACAAAATAATTTGAAAATTTCAATATTGTAAAATCCATAAGAAATTTGAGACAACACTCACGCTTACTTGAATTTCAAAAAAATATAAATAATGAAGTTTATGCTTAAAATTTGTGAAATTTTGTACAGAGCATTTTGAAAACTGTTAGAGCAGGGGTGTCCAACCTTTTTGTTCTTCTGGGCCACATTGGAAGAAGTCATGGAGTTTTGGCCACAAGTATATATAATATATTTGTGACCCAATCCTTAAATATACAAGTATATTTAAGAGAGGTGGAAAGAAGGAAACACCCAAAATGCAAGTATTATTTGCATATCTACAATTTCCCTTGGAGTTTAAATAAAGGCATTCAAAACATCCAGAATAGTTTCCTAAATTTACAGAACATATCTGTTTACTGAAAATTTATAAAGTGATATACAGAAGGTAAATGAGATTAAATTTATATAATAATAAATTTGTTTTAAAATTACAAATTAATTTAAAATAATTTAACAAACAATATATACATAGAGAATGTATAATTATTACATAACTTACATTGATAAAATACAAACATTTTTTATTATTAATATAATATCTGATAAAAAATTGTAATTTGTTGTTTATCAAAACTAAATGAATAAATATTTCATACAGTTTTCTTTTCATCTACAGAATTTGGTTTTAGTGTTTTCAGTATGTATGTTACTGTGAATGACGAATATCTGGTGAATGTCGAGATTCTCCGATGAATGTCAGCATTCACACAGTTGTTTCATGTATGTACGAAATATTGCTAAATATCAATCAATCAATCAAAGTTTTATTTGCATATAAGGCTATAGCCTGTTACAGGGGGTATTAGCTTTACAGTTTCTTTTCTCTTCATTTCTATTATTTAATAATCATATTTTTAAAGGTTTTACTAACATTATTATAGTATCTATATATTTTGTTAATACTGGCTTTATCCAGCTTTCTATACATTTCTTTTTCTTCCTTACAATCATTTTGTTCTTTATTAGTTTTTAGTTCATGTTCTTGTTCTTTGTTCTTCACACTTACATATAATAAATGTGATTTTGATAGTTTTTTCTTACATATTGGACAGTTGAATTGATCATATTCTACGTATTTATCGTTAATCATCAGTCCTTTTTGGTTAAGTCTAAACTGTATAAAAAATTTTTTAACATTAAATGAAATATTAGTTTTCATATAATTATTAATTAATGGAAAGTTTAAGATCTCAGAATAACAATTATTTTTCCTTTTTTGAATATCTTCTGTATCTTGTATTATTGAGTGTTCTGTTACTCTATATATTAGTTGACTGATTCGTTGATCATTATTTTGGAGATATTCAAACACTAATTCTATCAAGAACCCGTATATATATATCATTATTTCTCACTTACACCGGCAAATGTCGACATTCAGCTCATTCAGCATGCACTGATGGTGAATGTTGAATAAAAATATTTTTATTATGTTAAGACAAAAATGCAACTTTTTAATATGTCAAAATAGGAGAAAGCTTAAGTAACAGCACATATAAATAAACTGTTGAACCTAAAACAAACAGTACATTGATAATAAACTTAAAACATAAATAATAAACTTACACATAAATTATGTGATTAACATTATAGAATCTTATTTATTGCAACAACTTAAACTATTATGGCACTTTGAATTGCACAAGAGTCCCTTACTTTTACAACTACATTTATTTGTGGAACACTTCTTTTTGTAATGACAGCGTGTATAGCCTTGCCCTCCACTTTTCAAGTTAGCTGCAGCTGCTTCTCTCAGAGATATTTCTTGAGAAGAAATCTCATCTGAGGAAAGTAACTTTTCTTTACAAATTACAAACTGATTATGGTTTTTTTTTAACTCTTTCCGCCTTGTGGGCACTAAGAGGGCCTCTTTTTGCAATCCCATTATGGGTTCGGCCAGGCCCACAATGAAGCTGCCGGGTGGTGAGGGACAGGGCCAGACATATCCGAATAGATCAACCCCCAAATAATTCCTGGGGATTTTTCGACCCGTTTGGATTCGAATCTGGGTCCCCCAGAGTGGTGGGCTGCCACCTGGACCCCTCGGCCATCCGGCCACTAACTGATTATGGGTATAAAGCTGCTTGAGAGTACCATTTCTGTTTGCTAATTTATAAAAGTCGGAGTCTTCTATTCCAACAACCACTGCCAACACATTTCGGGCATCTGTACGGCCACGGTCGACATCAGGGACTTGTATTCGTATGGTATCACCAATTTGAGCAGAAGGAAACGGCGAAGAATTTGGCGACAGACTGACACCTCTCTGCCGACATCGGCTTTTCGGATGTCGTTTTGACCTCCACCAAAGCTTATCTGTGGTTGTCAACATACACCGGTGATTGTTCGAATGTATAATAATATAACCAAATATTCGATCTATCACAGACCTATTTTGTATGTGTCGACATTCACCAGAAAATATCGACATTCTCTAATTTCGGTCTTTCACAGCAACATGTATATATTATCAAGAATGTATGTATATATTTGGTCCATGACTGAGAACCAAATTACATGACTGTAACTTTACTTTTCCTTTTATGACAGAACAAGGCAGACCTAAGTTCACAATGGTTTTAAATATAAATATAACCTCAATTAAGTCATTCTCCATTTAACAATGTTTACAAAGAGAGCTTATTATGATATCAATATCCAGTGTTTCTTTTTCACAGCTATCAACTTTACCAAATTTGAAATGAATCAGTGCAATTATTTCTTGTGAGGTTTTAAAAAGATGAAGTGTCTTAATATCATTGCCCATTTCCCAAACTCAAAGCTGTTAACAAAGCCAAGATTGGAGCATTTCCATAAAAATTTTGAACAGTTTGTAACAATTACATACTTAAATTATACAGAGTTCAAGGGCATCACAATGAACATATTATTATAAAACAAACAAATTTTCTGGATGTATTATTTATTTTCTTAGAATTTTATTTAAGTATCTTTAATTATTAAGAAGTCATAGTCCTTTTAATTTCAGGCAATAAATATGATAAAGGAAAACACACTATACACATAAAAATTACTGTAAATATTACTTACTAGTTCTTGAGCTTCTTCTAAATGCTTCTCTACTTGATTAACCATTATTTTTTTATCTCCTAGAAAAACAAAAAAGATTGCACATAAATATACTCTTCTTATTAAATATAAATAACTAAGTCTTCTATTCTCTAAATTTAAAAAATATTTACTGTACTTCTTTTAAAGAAAATTTTTAACAATGCAAAAATATTAAAAATTAAATATAATTTTGTAAATCATTTATGATTGTCATGTAGACTTAAATGTTTAATTACATTCTAAAATACTCAGTTTGCAAATAGGTGAAATTAAAATAATTAGCCAGGACAAATTTACATTTACAAAAATTTCCTAAAAAATTCTTGAGTAGACAATACATACAAAGATTTGTCTTTTTCAATCAGTCCTTTCAAATTAGGATGAAAGAACAGGATAGAATTGTTGTTTCCTCACATGTATTACAGTCCCTTGTTAGACAAATTCAGAATTAAAAGATTTTTGTCTCTTAAAATACTATTCAATCATATTTTTTATTTACTATATATTTTTTCCATAATAAAAGAATATATGCAATAAGAAAGTTTTCAGTAAATTTCAGGTTGCATAATAGCTATTTTTAAAATCATCCACTATATTTGCAATAATTCATTGTCCTAATTCCTACATTATAAACTTGAAACATTTTTCATTATTATCATTATCATTCATCTCCATTTAAGTTCAATTTCCCAAAGACCATATTAAATAAAAATTTAATTCTTCCAAATTTATTTATAAATGCAAGAGTTCTTTATTATATATAAAACAGTATAATATAATATAAAGCATAAACAAGGATGATATAAATCATGGTGTCACTGGGAATGAAACTATAAGAAAAGTGTGATTAAAGCTTGATTTATATATATCAGCATAGATTGACAATTTATATAAAATTAGCAGTATAAATTTATAAGTATATATATAAAAGTAAAAGTATAATCTGTCAAGGCCTTTTGTACATTAATTAAAGTCTTGTACAGTCTATGGAGCATTTGCAATAACATATCTTCATGAACAGAGTACCAGAACAAGTTGGTGAAGTGTATGGAATTCATAACAACTGAGCATAACAGAATCCAATCACTGTTTAATTTGAACACTGTTCCATCCAAGGGCAGTCAAATTCCAAAAAGTCAAAGGAATGCTTGTCTCAGCATAAGGGTTGACAGTATGGACAACACCTATTGTAACAGTGTTTCCAAACAATAGTGCCAACACACTATTACTTCTTCCTGTTTCTGCCAGTGGCTCTCCAGTTCTGTTACAAACAACTCAGCTTGAAGCCCTAACTAAACAGAACACTAAAGCAAGCAATGATCTGTTCAGGGTGCTACTATATTATGAAAAATTGCTCTATACATGACAAAAATATACTGTACAGGGGTCCTTGTTTAATGTGGCTAACTAGAAACAAAAAGTTATCACTTTAAGTGAACTTTACATAAAGCGAACATCATAAATTCATAGAAAATCATATTTAATTGGGACTTTAATAAAGCAAAACTAAATGAAAAACATGAAAGAAATCTTTATTATTCCTATTTACACATATGTAAAATATTTATTATTAATATAATTAATTAATTAAATATCGGAAATGATTTATAATTGAATTTTAAAAGGACCTGGTAGTGTTTCATCATTTTTACTGACTGCCAAGTTTTAAAATATGAAAAACAAATCTAAAGTATGATGTTTCCTGCAGTTTATTTTTTCATTTAATATTGTTTTATAACAAGACAATAAGTCTTTATGAATGGGCAGAAAAATTTGAGCGTGGAATTTTATAACAAGACAATTCCACGCTCAAATTTTTCTGCCCATTTTATAAATTTCTGCCAAATTTCAAACATTTCTGCCCATCTGTTTTATAACAAGACAATTCCACGCTCAAGCCCCTTAGTCTAGAGTTTTTCGTGTTACAACTTCCACCTTGAAGGTGTCACGTTGTACCATCTCACACTCTGACGTCAAGTTGGTAGTTTCAAGTTATAACTCGCATGCTTTCCCATCTCACCATGTAAGTTCCTACTCACTTTGAGTCGAGCATGTGAGATCTCTACAAAAAAGTGATAATGGCTAATGGATATGCTATTCTGATCACAATCGAAGCATTAGAAGCTCTTTTGCATTCCTTTTCATGTCCACTAATAAAAAAATTTTAATTCATAATTGATAAAATTATATGAAAATTTTTTTCAAAAATAAAAAGAAGTATCTAATTCATTGAAAAAGAGAAAATGACAGTAAATTATATGTATAAATTATTAAGAGCATAGACACTATATTAAGATTATTTATTAATCAGAAGTGTTAAGTTCATTGAACAATTTAAGAAATAGATCAAGGAAGAAAACTGAAGAAAGGATTAAATTAAAATACTTTTTTCCATTCTACAACAGATTTTTTTAGTTTCAACACATGCATTTAATTTTTGAACTAATTCATTCCACATATTGAAACGTTTTTTCTAGTAAATTTGTTGTCAAATTTTCCACTGTTCATTTTCTTATTATTTTTTATATGTATGACTAAGATGTCTTTCTGTTCTTCACTTATTTTTTTTACATAAAACATTGGAGGCTTCCATTTTGTTCCTGTATCCTATATCACTATAACACAAAAGTAACTGTAACATGTGCAAACTAATTAAGAGGTAATGGAATGAAGGTTGGCCATTAAGAAGTTAGTTCACTAGATGTTGCCTGTATCACACCTCTTTTATAACCACTCTGCACCTTGTAGTAATGCTATCTTCAAACTCCATCTTCCTACTGTTATGTAACCCTTACGTCCAGCTATCTTGTAGCATTATGAAGCCATCTTATGCCTGTTTCTTCTGCATCCATTTAATGTTCACTGATCATACCTTTATAGCAGTTTGTTTGTCTTGTATAATTTTAAGTATTATAACTTTTTTATATTAATACCAACTGAAGAGGGACTATTCTGATAATCCAAAATGCATTTTGGTTATTTCATGTTAATTATTCATCTAATCGATTTTTAATGTACACCCCCTTTTGTTTTATTAAATGTACTACATTGATACCTGAGTGTTTGTGCTTATTATCACTGGTGTGATAAGTCCTTATTATCTACCCCTCATTAGTAGGTATTTAATTAATTTAATTAAACCAAGGGCTAAAAGCAATTCTTTGTAAAAACTGAGCTGTTCACAGGCCAAATCAACTAACTTCATTTGTAAATCCTTAATATAATTGTTATTTTCAAATAGTTCTTCTCAATATCCGGTGTGGTAGCTGATGAATACGTAGATTTAGTATATGTCTCTTTAATCCAAATTAGTAAAAATGGTACACTTTCTCTCAGCTATAAGGTTAGGTACTCCTTTATTGCAAATCACAAATGCATTTCGGTCTATATGGGCCCCTCTTCAGTGTAAATGCTCATAAGACAGAGTAACGCTCTTCTAATTGTATGACTCTCACAATGATATTTTATATAATCCAAAAAAAAACAAAAAAAATACATGAATGTGTATTGAATGACACTATTACACAGGTACAATTAAAAACCTGTAAGGTATTTAAAACCATATTGCGTATTTTAAGACGTTATCAGAATACCTATTCTTTTTATCTACTGTATTTTATTTTCAAATAGTTCTCAATATCCGGTGTGGTAGCTGATGAATACATAGATTTAGTATATGTCTCTTTAATCCGAATTAGTAAATATTTTGTTTCTATTCTTTATCTAATTTAAATGGATAGGAAATACAATGTGATTAATTAATTTAAAGTTCAATTTAGAATACATTATTTAGCATTTATTTTACAATAAAGAATTTTTTTATTTCTAATAATAAATTGGATTTATATTTTCTCCATAAATTAAAAAAATTCTTATGCCAATCACATCAATTCTTTATTACTTAAATATTTAGAAACAAAATTAATTTCAATATTAAAAAATTCAACTTACTCCTACAGTTAATTTAAACATTTCCTTCAATAAACTTGTTTTGAAATATAAAATATTACTTGCAACAATAAAGAAATATCTCTCAAAACTTTTACAAATATGTATATAATAGTTTATATAAGAATCAATGATCTAAAAATAAGTAGAGGTTGAAAGATATTTTTTCTTTAAATGCATTTTCTCTTAAATATTTATTGAATGTAAGGATTCTATTTATATAAGGCTACATAGAGAGAATAGTGTTTAAATTTAGCTAAATATCTAAATATACCTGTTATGTATCTAATTATCAAATGTTATGCTGAACATTATATTAATACTAAATATAAACCAAAAATTTTTTCAAATTTAAGAGGTTCAAAAGCAAAAAAAATAAAATAAAATAATTGCTGCAATTTTTAATCGTATTCTTCACTTATTCAATTTAAAATATATGTTCTCCATCTCAAATTTATAGTGTCTTGCCCCTGTACATCATACTTTTCCCTGATAACAACAGAGTCAGGTCAATCATCTATGTAACTCCATTCAGAAAAATATTTTTGAATTGAATTTATATGACTTCTGGTCTAGACCAGAAGTTTGTATATAGTTAATCAGGGCCTCCTAACCTAAGCTTTCCATATCTAGTCTTGACTTTCATCTATCTAACACTGTTCTTGAGATTACGGAAGAACAGAGGGATTGTCAAAAATTTTTTGCAATTACTTTTACAGGAAATGAGCCTTTAAATTTACACTAAATTTACTGATTTTATTCATATTTTAAAGTGTTTTCTTAAATCTTTTAAATGTAAAACATAAATAAAATAATCAAACATATTTTGACTATAAACATTTTGACTATAAACAGAAAACAATATATGCTGCTATGTTGATATACTAATAGTATAAAACAAAATAGATTTAGTATTCAAAAACTAGCATAGCCCTAATTTACAAATATCTGTTACAGATGTATTTCTTCTAATTTTTCTTTGTAACATATTACTTAATTTGTCACTATTATAGTTAAGATGAATTTGATTTGCTATTTAATTGTCACAAAATAGCTTTAAGCTAAAAGATCTATTTTAATCCAGAGTGAA